AATTCACAAGTCATTGTTTAGACACCGCATTCTCAAAAATTCACTGTTTCTCTATGGGCAGAGAAAATCATTGATTCATATTTCTTCAAAAATGAAGCCGGCCATAATGTTACAATCAATAGGGAACGCTATAGAGCCACGATTAATGACTTTTCATACCTGAAGTGGAGGATGTTAAGGTGGACGACCTTAGGTTCTAAGCGGACGACGCTACATGCCATACAACAATCAATTTATTGAAGGAAACTTTTGGTGATCGCATTATCTGGCGTCATGGTCCTGTGGCGTGGCTTCTAAGATCATACGATTTAACACCGCTGAACTATTTTTTGTGGGATAATGTGAAGTCGCTTGTCTACGCAGATAAGCCCGAGACGATTGACGCCCTGAAAGAGAATATTCGGCGCTTTATTGCTGACATATGACCCCAATTGCTGCAAAAGTGGTCTACCTCGGCTAGAATTTATTCGAATAGCCGCGGAGATCAGTTGCCCGAAATCATTTTTAAAACATAATGGAAAACCCTTATCTTTATAATAAAGCTAAATTATATGCGTTTTATATCTTCTTAAAAGCACATGTCTAAAAAAGACCCTATATATTTCACTACCTAAACAAACTTCTTTCAGAAGATCGTACAACTTAAAAAAAATAAGTTGTGCTATGAACGTACTTAGAGACAAACCAACAGAAGGAAACGATATTTTCAGATTAAGTTATAGTACATATAACTACATATAATTGCTTCAATGCAGCCGAATTTAACGTTTTTGCTTATTTTAGTTTTATATTAGAGGATGCGCGCCTTTCATGACATATTAAATACTTTTTAATTGATGGAATCTAAGCCTTATATGCCAAATCTAAGACTTATATGCCAAAAAACTGTCTTTAGACCCCGAAATCGCTCAATTAAGTGTTTGATTTAAAATTCCTTAAAATCGAGTTGAGCTGTTATTGCTTTTCGGCACAGTGAACTTACATAAGGTACTAAAGTAATAGCTCTATTGATGTTTACTGCAACCAACGCCTTTCAACAACTTTATGCCTTCGTTTCACAACTTTTCGGACATGCTGACGTCAATTGCATGCGTTCATAATATTAATCAAAAATCATTGACCAACCAGCACTCACACCATTTTACATCAGGAAAAGTTTCTGATGGTAATGATTACTAACTTCACAAATACATGCAAACTTAGAATTTCAGAAAAGTGAAATAGATTCATATAAATGCTCATATATACATATCAATTGATATGTATATATGTAAGTATATAATATTATATATACGAGTATACTTAAACGCCACTTAGTGTGATTGCATATAAAACGCACATTAAATCACCACACAAAATGGCCAAGAAAAAATTGTTTTCAACGAAAGAAATTACCTAGTTGTTGCGGCGATGAGAAAGTAGATCATGAATAAGTAAAATATTTGCGAATCAAAAGTGAAGTGGCAATCAAGCGTCAGTTCATTTCAACGCGTATAAAATTACTTCCGTCGCAGGCGAATATTTACCCAAACACTTGACTGTCGGCTTTGCCTGTGACATTTAAAAATTAATAACATTCATGCCAACCCGAACATGCTGATGGATTGTTGACTTTGATATTGAGGTTGGTGCCAGCCATTGTTGGTGTTATTGAGCTTGGTTGCGGCTTTGGCTGTGATTGTGCCGCTGGCTGTTATTACATTATAAATGCTAAGCCACAAAACGAATGCGAACGCTGCAAATCATTAGCCAACAATGGATGACGGACAACTTAAAGCTTCCCACTCTAATAATGTGCAAATTTATGCCCATAAATGTATACATATGTATACAAGTAAGTATACCATATACATAAGTTGCTGGCAAATATTGAAGATTATATGTGGGCTGGCAACTACCTATAGGAAATATACTTCAATGAATGTGAAAATAACTTTTCAAAGGACATTTGCTAGTGAATTATTGTAAAGTAATTAGAAAGTTATTGTAAAGTATTGGAAGTTAAATTCTGTTGTTTGGAATGAAAGCTCTAGCTTAAAATAATTGTAAAGTAATTACAAAGCGATTGAAAAGTAATGGAAATTTAACTTCATTGAATGACACGAAAATATCTACTACTAAGTAATTATAAAGTTATTATAAAGTAATTGTAAAGTAATTGACAAGTAATGGAAATTAAGTTTTATTGTATGACACGAAAATGTCTAGTTAAAAACATGAAATAAAGCCAAAGAAAGGTACTAAAGACTAAACTAATTTAACTTAGAATTAACAAAAAATTGGTACGCACTAAATGTAATTTTCTTAGTTTTGATTGCAGAATAACTTAGATTTAAGACAACGAATTTAAGGTTCTTCTGCACCACAATCAAGTTTAACTAACCATAAGAGTTGGAATTTATAACCAGTTAAAGACTATCACCTTGGCCGAATTTTCTCAAATGAATTTTTAAAAAGTTTTATGACGCCGCAGCAAATATAATTTATTACTTATAACATACAACTAGAGTGCTATTAATCTAGTATAAAAAAGTGTGTAAAAGTTAGTTAAGGTGTGGGGCAAAGTAGCAAGGTACGACACTCCTACCTCCAATTCCAAGTAATATTGACTACATAAATTTTTTTTTATTAGAAACTAAAACACCCCAGGAGCTAATAGTAGATTTTTTCTACTACTTCTAGAAAGCAAGAATTACTGATAAAATTCAATTTTACCTCAAACAAATGTTCCAGGGTAGAGGAGATATATATGGTGGCTCTTATGTCTAATGTTAACTCAATCTTAAGCAGTCCCTAAAACATTTCTGACTGACTTTTTCTGCATAATGTTGAAAGTTTTTTTAAAAACATAATATTAAGAAAAATAATACTAAAATTACATTGCCGCTGACATTAAAATAAGACTAATATGGAAGTACTTGAAAACTGTATGGAGACAATTTTAAATTTAGATAACTACCTCGGATCGCATCGTCAATTGGTTTGGGTTATTGACTTCTGCTTGACTATCGGTTATAGTCTAACAATGATGGAAAGTAACTTCGGCGTGAAATATATGTAATGATTGAGAAATCAGCATTATGATAAAGTTATATACCTATATATATATATTATATTATAGCAAACGCCTCCGTAAAGTTTAGTTTTGAGTTTCGAAACTCGTTTTTATTAGCGATCTAAATTGTATAAAGGTGGACAGATTTACTAAAGTCCGTATAAGGGGCTGTTTACTCATTTTAATAATTTCTATTAGAGTCACAAAGCCTTTTAAAAAAAATTATTTGTGATAAATTATGTTTAAGTATATTGGATGAAACATTTGACATTCAAATCCTAAACGCATTGTCAGGATATTATAAAGTTACATATAAATCTTATTTAAACGATTCAAATTAACAAGTAACAGTATCTAGGCCCTAAGTTAGGTTAGGTTAGGTTTGGTTTGATGGTTGATCTTAAGATCGCACTTGGATGACTATATGTAGTCCTTTGTGATGCCATAAAAATAGAACTGCTGTAATTCAAACTTAAAAGTCACTAAAGCTCCTTGTAGCGAATAAAAATTTGTTCATGCGTTTAATTTCTATTTCCCCCAGTTCGGTGGAACTTCTGAAAGTGTGAGTCCCCAAGTGTTTAAGCCTTGAACCCACAAACGCGGGACAATCAAGAAGGAGGTGGCGCCGGGTAAGATTCGCAATCTTGCAGCATGGACGGCGATACGACAATGGCTGTTAGAACCCCACAACTAGGGAGAGGCTAGCTTTACTGAAGGCAAATAGCTCACTGGATCGCTTTAGATCGATTTTGGGCCAAAAAGATCTTACGACAGCGCATGAACTGATGGTAGCAGATCCAAAAGATCCTGTATAAAGTGGAAGCAACTTTCACAGCCATACATCTTCTGGTGATATCTATGAGCACTATATAATAAGAATCAAAAGCTTGTAAGAAGAGATGCGGGTCAGGGCGGGCAAAGTATATTAAATCTATCTAACACTTCGAATAAATAACACTGCCATATTCTGAAAGAACTTATTGCAGTAAACGTATATTTTGTTAAGCTGACGGATTTAAGATAAGAATTTTGAAAGGTTTCAAAACCAGACCCATTTCTATCTAAATTTATCTTATGATTTTCTCTGAAGCAATAAACTTTTATTATTGGGCGGATGAGATGAGGCGCACATATGTTTTTTCTAAAACTAACACAATAACTCAACAAAAAAAAAACAACAATTATCAACACCCGGCTATCAGCAGGACCGAGTAAAATTAGTTTGCAAAATTCAAAGGAAATTTCCTGCGTCAAACATACGTCTGTCTCATAATGCTGAAAAACATTGATTAATAATGTTACGTATACGCCACGTGGCATAACAGGTAACTCTCAACTCACCGCCACAAATGTGTGCGCCTGAAAGTTGGCTTTTCTGAATTGAAACAAGTGTAATGATTATCATCAAACAATCACATGCATAAGCTAAGCTAGCGGCAGATCAACTTTCAGTGTGCCCACAAAGCGATTTGCGTCTCAATGAAGAATAATGGATGTGGTAGCTATTTTTAGCTACAAAACGGCAACTGTTGGCGGCCATTTACGCACAGAAAAAGAAGTGAAACAGAAGAAAACGAAAAATATAAAAAAAGCACAAATCACATGTAGGCTGTTACTTATATACATATATGTTATTAATATATGTTTATTAGTATATGTGAAATTGGCGTGAATCGAGAGAGTTTTGGCAAAGATTTTGCCCAAAGAGCAAAACGAAACTAAAATGCGTAAGAAACGCGTGTGAAAGCGAAAGTGCCGTTATACACACAGACCAAATTATGAAAATGCAAGTATATAAGTACATAAGTGGTGAATGAAGAGTGGGCGCTGAGTTGCGTGTGAGCGTGATTCGCGAGCAGTCAAAGTAGCACTTTGCTGCAGACAATTTGAGTAAAATTTAGCGAGAGCGTAATAGACAAATTTTACTGACATAAGACATACTCACCTTAATCGTCTGACGTGCGTACGTATACGCCATTAGGGCGAACGCCGGATAATATATCTTACAGTAAATGGCAACAGTGCAAGCGTCCAAGTAGGTGTTAGCGCCCTAAAAAGAGAGTAACAAGAAGAGAGTAGGTTGAATTATAACATAAGCGGTATATGTATGTATGGATATATTATTTATGTTTATAATTAAATGTTAGAGAAAAACGCTCTATAAGCACAATTGTGGTGAAATATTTGGTAATTGGGCTCTTTCTTGAAATAATATAATAAAAACAAGAGGAAATAAAAAAAAAAATATTATAATTTTAATAATGGAACTGCAACTTGAAACTTTGCTCAAATCAAAACAATGTATGATATTAATATTTAAGAAAAAGTTTAATTTATTTAATATTATATATATCTGTGATTCTTTTAGTATTTTTGGTAAGGGTGTACCTTGCGTGATATTTACCCGTCTGACGTCCTCTTTTTTACCGCTAATCTACCACTGAAACTATCCCGAACTAAATAACTGAAATCGAAAAAGAGCCTCCTAAGTATATTTGACGAAATAATTTGTCTTTTGTGTGTCAAAGAGTTACAAGTGCATCTTCTTAACCTCAAACATTTTTTCCCAAGCATAGAACACGTTACTATAAGCAATATATAAGCATATATTTACCTTGAGTTGGTTGGTTCAAAATATCTTTGGTTCAAGATTAGTAATCTTAATTTAAGGCAACCAATCTGGAATAGAAACAAGTCTTATACGCTCCAGACGATTCTATGGCAAGAGAAATGAACCGCTAAATCTATGAAATTAGATCGGAATCTCTTACATGCCTGGAACACTGCTTCATTAACTCTTGATTTTCCAACTGGATGGATGCTATATAGATAAAATGCTTCCTTATTGGAAAAAATATTAATTATGGCAAGGGATATGTCCTATGATTAATAAAAAGCACCGATGTTTTTGTGCTCCATATGCTTAAATTTTCAAAATATGAACGAGAATTTATTCAAGGAAAAAAATTAAAGATTGAAAATCTGAAAGAGATGCCAGTTGTACCAAAAAGCAGTTAATAGAAAACTTTCTGGGTTGTAAAATAGTTTTACAAAAGTCGCATCTTTGTTTTTTTATAGCATAAGCTTTTATACAAAAAAAATATTTGTATGAGCCGATAAGTACAATAGCATAGACAAAATATTTAAGGTTATCCATTATGTGTGCACCAAATAGAGCAGAAAATAACATAACTAACCGGTTTATTATACGTCATATAACGTCTTTGTTAGTTGCAGCATGGTGACGAGAAATGGTGTATTCTTCTACCACATTTAAGTGGAATGTTAATAACTTCGCAGTGGACGTCAAGTTAACTTTAATCACCACAAAAAGCTCAAAGTCACGACTTTAAAGCTTCATTTGGGTGCCTAAAAGCTTTAATAAAAGCTCTGGAGCTTTACAAATTACTAAAAAAGTACAATATAAATTATATTATCTATTATAGGTATATTATATGTCTATACAACTACCGGAATGCCTCCTGTTGCTATCTCATTAAAGCTTTCGCTCAAAGCTTTCTAAAACAAACAGCTGTTTAATGCTTTTCAACTACATATACATTTATTTCACACATATATATATTTTATATATGCATACATACACTTATATGTAGGGGAGTATGACTAACAACCCCCAGCTTGTCGGTGCCACGGCTCACATTTGCCACTTTCGCATTGTCACTTAACGGTTTTGCTGCGTCTGCGCGCTCAGCACAACCTCCGCTCAACACTTTTGTGACTGATTTCTACCCGAATATACATGCAGCGAATCACAACTCCTAAACCGCCCCTACCAGCGAAGCTCTCACTCGTCGTTTTGCTTCGTGAGCTTGTCGTTGAGGTTCGTGTCGGCCTGTCGCATGTTAGTTGGTACTGCTGAACAGCTTCATTGCGACCACAACCTGATGCTTTGCATCAGTTCGACCTGGTGAGCGCAGACTAAACGTTCGAGTTGAGCGGTTAAATAGGTGCAAGTATCCTAACTTAGTAGTATCAAAAAAACAAAATTAAAATAAAATCCTCTGTCAAGTGAAAGTAACCAGTAACACTGCTCGCAGCATTCTATATAACAGTAACAAACGATAGCAAGCTGGCTGTACGGAAAGGCATCTCATATTTTGCACGAGAAACTTGTTGACTATCTGCATTGTCTACCATAAAGTACTATTGCTGTTGTTGTTGTTGCTGGTTTTCGATGTTGGCATAGAAATTTTCAGTCTACAATTCACACAACTCACTAACATATGGCAGCTTTTGTGCCAGCATCACCGTATGACAATATGCAAAACGCTTATCGCCAACTTAGCCGTAATGAGGCAGCAGCTGTTGTATGGTAAGTACATACATACATACATATAGGTCCATCTGTGTGTGTGTGATCTGTGATTGCTTTATTTTGAAAATAAAAGAAAACTTAAAAGTAGTCAGCGCTGAGCGCTGTCTTGCCTAAGGACCTCTTTGTTCTTGGCTGAGCACACTTGAAGTCATAAGAAGCGCCATCAGTCTGATGAGGTGTCAAGTTATGCCGTGGCGGTGTAATATTGTCAATACATATATTTAAATGCATATGTATATGGGTTACAAGTTGTGTGCGACCTGTTGAAATAAAGCCTCACATAAAATGCTGATAAAATTTGTTTGCGGCTCGATAAAACAGTTACTGTAATTTATTGCAGTTGTTTGTTGAGTGAAGCTTATAAATATGAAATCGTTAAACGAAAATTAATTAGTTGCCTAGTAAAATGATAAAATTATTGCTAACTGTGGCGTAATTACGTGAAAATGTTTTTGAATATCTAATTTATGACTATTATCTGCCGTAAGCTGGCCATAAAGATAACATATGCCGTAAGGGGGGCGTACTGCTTTTTGCTAAGTGCTTAGAAATCCATTATTATATTCAAATATACTGGAGATAATGATAAAAAAGTATTATTAAATATTGATATAATTAAATAAGTGCGAAAATAGTGAGTAATGCTCATTGAAACAATATTATTTTATCGCATTGGCGTCATTATCTCATCATTTATCTATGAAAAAGCAGGTATGATCTGAAATATGCTGCGTTTAATCGACTGGTTTTTCGTCAATGTGGCAATATGTGCACATGTTTTTGATACTTCTTCTTAATTCTGAAAAATTAGCTCAATTTCGAAATTCGAAGCCAAATATTTCCGAGACTAACTTCAGAAATCGGAAAAATAATTTTTTTTTCATTAGTCTTTAATATTTCACAAGCAAAATACTGTACTTTTGCGATCAATATAATTTCGTTTAGATTGCAATTAGGTTATGTACATGATAAAAAAGCTAGCAAAGAAAGAATACAGCTGTTGGAACTCACTTATTATTAGCTATTCCTATTGACTAGTTTTCTAAGTAAGCAGGCTGCAACATCCATTAATTGTCAATTATATACTAATTGAGCATTTAGTTAATTGTTCTATTGAATAGTAAACTGAAAACAGATAAGAATTCATTTGCTAAAATTAAGATAATTTTTCGGTTGACAGCCTGTTAAACATATTTTGAGATATACAATTAAGTGCGAAATAATTTTATTTTCGATTTTGAAGCTTTTTAATCTATAAGCGCAATATGTTGATAAAATCTCAAAGTTTATTCTACAACTTCTGCTGAACGTTAACAAAATCGAAAAAAACTGCTTAGTTATTGTATTGGAAATATGCCATCTGATCCACTTTGAATCAGACTGACAAAAACAACTAAGTATTCACGTATTTTATTTTAATAAAAAGCCAAGCTCCTGAGTCAATACAAGCATGCCAACGCTTAATACACTTGTTATAAGGCGCGCCTGGGATAGCTCTTCGACAACGAATTTTGGTTTTTCGCTTTCGGCTCATTTTCAGAGCGCCATTCGCAAGACTGTTGAACAGTTCGACGTCATATTCATAAAACAATGTCTCGTCACCAAGAATGAAGCGTTTGATGAATGTATATTCTTTACGATCTCTACTCGACATCATTTGAGTCTTTGGTACGAGTTAGCGTTGACACACTCATACGAAAACATTCACCAAAATGTGTTGAATCGCTGCATAAGAGATGTTGAGATTCTCTATCTTTCCAAAGTCACATAATGATTTCCAAACACTCTTTCTTTAAAATTTCGATGGTATCGTCAAAAGAGGTAGCGATGACTTCAACACCTTCACCGATTGCTTTGCGTCACTAAATACTTGTGTTCGCGATAATGTATACTCCTAAAACATACTGAAATTTTCAACGTTTTTATTGGAAACACAAAATTTCAAACAAACTTTTTTTAAACAAACAGCGCCTAAAAACACACTAACTAACATATGGAAATCAAATCACACGAACATAAAATGGTTGTACCAATCTCGCAAAAATCGATCTGTTTGCAGACGCAGATTGGATGATGGACTAGTTCGGGTCACATTCGATCAGATGTTATAATAACTTTAATATCTGATGAATGTAAAGATTTCCTAAAAGTGTTTTTAAATAATTTTATCATGGCGTCAACATAAAATGATAAGTCTGTCAAGGAATTATATTTTCCATAGATAGCTAGGTAGGTAGGTAGGTGAGTGGCTATCTGACGACGCATCTAGGTTGGGAAGGATATTGTGATTATTTTCCAATAAGAGGTAAATAGGTCGTTTTGGTACTCAAACCACACTTTACCACCTCAGTTTCGTAAAGTATGGAAATTTGTGTTGAAATAATTGAAAAGTTTTACAGTGGCTATATTGTTCCTTCTTTATACAGATCTGTAACATACTTTATATTGTTAGAACGAAAGCGACTTCAAATTTCGTAATTTAGTAAAATTAAATATTCCCAAAAACAACAACTTTAGCAAATTTAAACATGAAATGCTAATTTCACTGATTGCCATGTTTCCATTTCTAAACCGTTCACACAAGTCGTCAGTCTCATTTCAAAACTTTAATAAAACAATTTATTCGCAATCGAATTCAAATTTCAGCAGCATTTGAATCACCGTTGTGCCAAAAGTGAATGGTAAAAGTGGCGGTAGAAAATTTGCAAAGCATG